CAGGGCAAAGCCAGGACCCTCCAGGCTGTCGAGCCCAGCCCGGGCAGGTACCGGGTGCTCCGGTGGGTCTGGGTTGAGGCGAGGAGCACTCAGCGCCGGCTCGCAGCTCAGATGAAATCCTCCCAAATCAGGAGCCGGGGGCGGGGAAGGGCTCGCCAGGGGCAGGGAGCCCTTCGCGCGGAGCCCGCGGCTCCTCCCGCGGCTCCCCTCTCCGCGGAGCTGCCCCGGGCTGGGAGTCTGGTTTCGCGCGGGGCGCTGGCAGCTCGCAGGGGCGCGGGGTGGAGGTCACGGCGGGGCAGCGCGGCGGGGATCGGGTGGCAGCAGCCGGCCTCCGGCCCGCTGCACCCGCGGGGAGCCCACTTTGCCCGTCGGCGCTCCGTTTTTTTCTTTTTTTTTTTTTTTTTTTTCTTTTTTGGCTCGCCAGCCCCGCCGGTTGATGACGGCTCTCGCACGCAGGGCGAGCGGCTGGGGAATGGCTGCGGGGACCCGGGTGGAGGAGGCCGGCGGTGAGGGGAGCAGCGGGCAGCGCCCCGTCCCCGCGGGCCGGCCCCCCGCAGCCCGGAGCCCCGGGGCGGGGGCTCTGCCCGGGGCCGGGCCGGGGGGGGGGGGGGGCAGCGTGAGGAGGAGCCGGCGGCGGCCGCGGCCCGGCCCGGGGGAGCGGATTTAGCGCCGGGAGCGCTCGGCCCCGCCGGTTGCCATGGTTACCCCGCTACCTGCCGGCGGGCCTCAGCCCGGGCCGGGCGGCGGGGGGGGCCTGCCCGCCCTTCCCTTCCCTTCCCTTCCCCTCCTTCTTCCCTTCCCCTTCCCTCCCCTCCCGCCGCTCCTCCCTCCCTCCCCGCCGCCGCGGCAGATGTCACGGCCGCGCCCGGCTCCGGGGGCTGCGGGCGGCGCTGGGCGCCCTCCCCGTCCCCTCCCGCCCAGCCGCGGCCTGCGGAGCGGGGGAGCCGGCGGCGGTGCGAGCAGGCCCCGGGGGTCGAGCGAGCCGGAGGGAGGGAGGGAGGGAGGGAGGGAGGGAGGGAGGGAGAGCGGCTGCCGAGAACAAAGATGCCGGGGCAGGGCGAGCGCTGCCAGCGCCATGGCCGGGCCCCGCGCCTGTGGTGGCGTGGCCCGTCCTCGTGCCTCACGCCGGGGCATCTTCCCCCGCCTGACATGGCTGTCGCCTCCCGGCGCTCCTCGCCCGGCACGCCGGGCTGGGTGCTGGTGGGCATTGCTCATGGGGTGGCGAGGAGACCCCGGCCCAAACCAGCCGGGTCCTGGCACCGCTCTGGGCTCTAAATAGGGGCTGCTCGCCCGAGAGCAGGAGGTGGTTGAGGGGCGGGAGAGCGGGAAGCGGGGGAGCTGAGGGTGCCGGGGGTGGCCGAGGGTGCTGGGGGTGGCCGAGGGTTCAGGGGGTGGCCGAGGGTGCCGGGGGTGGCCGAGGGTGCTGGGGGTGGCCGAGGGTGCCGGGGTGGCTGAGGGTGCCGGGGGTGGCCGAGGGTGCCGGGGGTGGCCGAGGGTGCTGGGGGTGGCCGAGGGTGCCGGGGGTGGCCGAGGGTGCCGGGGGTGGCCGAGGGTGCCAGGGGTGGCCGAGGGTTCAGGGGGTGGCCGAGGGTGCCGGGGGTGGCCGAGGGTGCCGGGGGTGGCCGGGGGTGGCCGAGGGTGCTGGGGGTGGCCGAGGGCTCTGGGGGTGGCCGAGGGTGCCGGGGGTGGCCGAGGGTGCTGGGGGTGGCTGAGGGTGCCGGGGGTGGCCGAGGGTTCAGGGGGTGGCTGAGGGTGCCGGGGGTGGCCGAGGGTGCTGGGGGTGGCCGAGGGTGCCGGGGGTGGCCGAGGGTGCTGGGGGTGGCAGAGGGTGCCGGGGGTGGCCGAGGGTGCCGGGGGTGGCCGAGGGTGCTGGGGGTGGCTGAGGGTGCCGGGGGTGGCCGAGGGTTCAGGGGGTGGCTGAGGGTGCCGGGGGTGGCCGAGGGTGCTGGGGGTGGCCGAGGGTGCCGGGGGTGGCCGAGGGTGCTGGGGGTGGCAGAGGGTGCTGGGGGTGGCCGAGGGTTCAGGGGGTGGCCGAGGTCGGCGAGCTGGAGCAGGAGAGGGTGTGGAGATGTAGCAGGCACGGAGGCCATGTGCGAGGCTGGAGGGGCGACGTGAGGGGCAGGGGGATGTGGGGCTACCGGCGCTGGTGAGGAGGAGGCAAGCAAGGAAACGTGGGGCTAGAGGAGATGGGGGAAAACAAAGGGCACTGGGGAGGAAAGAGACCTGATGGGAGACCTGAGGGAGAGGAGGGAGAGTGTTAGTGATGGCTGGGAAGGTGGGGAGGAGGCGGGAGAAAGGGGGGGCGAGGCATGCGAACGGGGTACGCAGGGATGGAAAGGGAGGAGAAACCGGGAAGGAGGAGAGGCCAACTAGTGCTGGGAAGGAGGATGCCTGTAAGGTGGCAAAGGGACTTTCTCTCCTCAGCACCTGAAATGCCGCCTGCTTCCAAGCGTTTCTGTCAAGGCTGAGCTTTGCTCCTGAAATCTTTTACCCATTCTGGGGGCAGGTGACTTCCAATAAAGCCCCAACACCAGGAGAGGGTAAAAGCATCCCTTATTCCCATCCTTTTTCCCAACTGAATTTTTATTGCTTTTTAAACCTAAGGGTTCTTAAGCCGTTCTGAGATACTGTGGGCTCTGACTCATGCCTTGAATACTCGTGAGCAATGCAGGGTGGGCAAGGAGGAACCAGAGGGGTGTGGGCCCCTCCGAGAGGTAGTCTATAGCACGTCTGTCCTCTTAAATCCTAGGTCAGCATTTGGTTATATTGTCGGATATAAACCTCTGTAATCCTAGAAGCACTGACTTGATACAGCTTCTTGTATCCAGTGGCTGTGATACCGCTTGCATCTCACCTGCTTCCCAGAGCTAAATAATCATGGGGAGAGAAGTGACAAGGCTGACGAGGGGCTGGAGAGACGCGAGGAGTCTGGGGAGGGTCACTGCAGGGAATGGGATGTCGAGGAGGCAGCTCCAGCATCTGGCAGCCAGCCGGGGCGGAGAGGAAGGCAGCGCTGGCTGAGCAGAGGCTGTAGCGATGCCCAGACCCTGAGGTTACCTTCACTGCAGTCATTCTGAAACCGAGGAGGAAATAGGGAACCGCTGGCCATGCAGGGAAGAGCGTATTCGTTGGTTGGGATGGCCCTGGAAATCGTGATTTGCGAAGGGGGTTGGTTACAACCCTGATTTTGAGGGCTCTGCTTGTTGCATCTGACTGCGTTTCTCCTGATGCATTTTCCTTTGTCCTGTTTCTGTAATTATCCTCATTTCAACCCTGCTCTGAGGATTATTGGTCAGTAGGAAGCCTCCTAATGCCCACTCCTCCTTGGCAGGGGAATACCCATGCCCTCAATTAAAGTGAAACTCTCCAAACGGTGACAGAAGAAATTAGATCTATATTCCTCAAAGACACTCCCTCGGGCGAAGTTTCCCGACCCCCACCACGGCAGCACTGCCACCCTGCCCCTTGTGTTCATTCTCAATATTCTCTTTGTTACAGCCACCTTTATACACGGCTGTGGGCTCCCCGGGGAAGGCAGAGGTGGTTTGTGTTGGAAAATCCTCGTGCCCATGTCCGGGGTGAGCACACCGACCCAGCCCACTGCAGTCCTTACCCAGGACAGACAGCCTCTGCTCCGAAATTGGGCTGAGGAGGCAACTCGACTAGGCAGTGCTTCACATTAGAAGACTGCTTCCCCGAGATGTTGGGTAGTCTTTAGCAGAAGGCAGTCCCTCTAAAATGATTGATTTTTGAGAGTCCCTTCACTGGTGTTTTAAGAACAGCATTTATTCAATCTATAGACCATATAATATACACAGAGCCCAAGCACCTATAACAACAACAACAAAAGGTTAGGAGATTGGGTGTTTCCTTTGCATGCAGACCTCTGCCGCCCTCCCTCGCTGTGGAAAAGGTAGTTTGCAGGCCATTTAGATGTGCAGGTTGCTGCTCCCCAGCTGGGTGTGTACCAGCTGGACGGCATCCATGTATACCTTTTGGAAAGCAGACCTCAAAGGGACATGGTGTGTATGTACATGTATGTGTATAATACGTATTTTTTTTCTATGCGTACAGCTGTCGGTGCGACAATGGCATTTTTTCAAGGAGCAAGCTAAGCGACCTCCCGAAGCCTGGCCCTTTCTCGGTACCCCCTGCTATTACAGCAGCCACCAGCTACCTCCCATTAGCTCTCCCCGCTCTGGTGCTTTGTGCCGGAGCGCCGTCGGCAGCTGCCGGGACCGGAGGCTGCCTCCCCTTCCCGCGGCACACCCTGGCAGTGTGAGCTGACACCGTCGGTGCCAGTCAGCTCGGAGGAGCACTGCTCCCCACACTTCCCACTCCCACCAGTCTGTCACCACTGCCGTGTGGCAGAATTACTGCCTCCTGCTCTCCAGCACATCCTAACACACAAAGAGCTGCGCTGCTGCTGCCAGCGCTCAGCTGCTCTGCGTATGCGGGAGAGGGAGGGTGCCTTGGAAAGGTCAGTGCAGGGAAGGAGGGCGATTCTGTCTCCTTCCTTTAGGGGCCGTATCCTGGCATCGCAGTGAAACCTTGTCCTGCCAGCTGATCCGTGTCCGCAGGGACTGCGGCCAGCGAGGGTGCCCCACATCGTAGGGCTTCCCAGGATGGTTTAGTACCATGTGCAGGTCCAGAGAGCTTCCCCTGCCTGTTCCCCACCTAGCAAAATCATCCCAAATTATGAAAATTTTAATTTCTTGATTGGTTGTGACTCCACTCTGGACTCTTCCCTTGTTTTTTGTTCCTGGCCCAGTTTCACTGGCAGCTTTAGCAGCACAACAGCAGCAGCCGCCACTGCCCTGGCTACAGCAGGATCCTCCCTGGAGCACTGTTTAATTTATCCCCCACATCCCCCGTGCCCAAGGCAGCCCGCGGCTGGAGCACCGCGACTCTGCCCCCTCCAACCGCATTAGCCCCGGGCCAATCTCGTCACCCCTGTCACCCATCCCTGACACTAACTCAACTTGCCTGCACTGTTGTAGGGGGCAGATGGACTGTCGGAGCCCGAGGGCATCTCTCTGAAACGTGTGGCTGTGGTGGAAGATTTCTTTGACATCATATACTCGATGCATGTGGAGAGCTCGTCGGAGCCAGGCAAAGCACCCAAACATGCCGGGCAGAAGAAAACCTACCGAGCGGTGAGACTCCCCCTTCGCGTGCCCTGGGCAGCGAGGGGACGGGAGCGAAGGGGCAGAGGGGCCGTGGGGACGGGCAGCCCGCGGGGACGGGGGCGAGAGAGAGGGTAGGTAGAAGCAGAGCTGAGGCGGAGGCGAAGGACCGTCCCGTTTGCCGGTGCGGGGAGGCGTGAGAAAGGAGCCGTTTAAAGGCAGAGCAGCTGCGCTCAGGAGCCGGGAAACCGGGCCGCAGTGGCAGCACAGCGGCACGGCTGCTCGGGGGGGGGGGAGAGACCAAGTGAATCATACAAAGGCAAACTGCACATGTCTGCGGGGAAGGAAGGAAAAAGAGAAATGCTTGGTGCTACTGATGGGCGAGGGGATGTTTGCCCAGTCCCCTGCACGCTCTGCTCCATGCCATCTGCCTCCCTGGCTCCCTCAGCCAGAGGAAAATGTTTCATGTGGGCCCTGAAGGGCAGGAGCAGCCAGAAAGGGGACTGGGGCACAGCCAGAGCTGGACCTGCTGCCCCGGCTGGGTGGATGCTCTCATCAGCCCGTGGCGGGGCTTCCTCCCTTACAAAATGGAGGCAGGCACCGAGCTCGCTCTCCTCAGGTGCTCCATGGATGCTGAGAACCAGCTCCAGCCATCCTGAAACCACTCTAGTTAGGTCAGGAATAATTTAGCTTGAAGTGTGCTTCTCCAGGGAGCTTGCTGTTTCTCCTGACTCTGCACAGCCCTTCAATGCAAACGTTTGGGCTCTCCTTTTACAAGAAGAGCTGAATTTACTGTCCAAAACCGAGCTACTCCCTTGAATCCCACAACCCTAAGGACCAGGTCGCTTAGAGACAGAAGTGGCTGGCTGGCAGCTCGCGTCTCTGGTGTATACATCATCTTGGAGAGGTCTGTGCAGGCTGCCCTGGGCTCTGCGATGATGCCTGAGATTATGCAGGGCTGGGTGTGCTGCCAGAGCCGGCTCAGGGGTGGAGCCTGTCCTGCCTGTCCTGCCTGCAATGTCCCTGGGTCCATCCACGCTGCCGCCCCCCTGCCCGCGGGTGGGAGCCCCCAGGGCTCTGAACACAGAGCTGGTGGCATCGCCCGGGTGCCCTGGGCGCTCAACTCGTGCCCCCGCAGCAGAGCGCGGGGCCGGGGCACACGCTGACCCTCCTGCCCGGGGGTGGGTGACCTCACTATGGTCTGGGGGGCAGCCTCACCAGCACCACCACAATTCAAAAACTTGCTGCTCATTTCCCCAGCAGACCACTCTGACCCTCCCCTAATTCCTTCAATTCAGCTCTCTGGAGGACTAATCTGTGCCCTGCACAGCCCCGGGGGAGCAGGCTGGATCCGTCTGTTTTCCCAGGCCTGCTCGCAGCAGTCAGAGAGCTTCACGCTCCACCCCTCCGTCTCCCTCTTGAGCTGAGATCATCACATTAGCCGTGTGTATCCCCTCCTGACCTGGCAGGACGCTGCTGCCTGGGCTGGCTGCCCTCGCTCATGCCCTGTTCTCCCTGGAGCGCCTTTGCAGCCGGGTCTGGAAGGTGAAATGCTGCACAGCGGACCCCGCGCCGTGGCTCGGGGGCACAAAGGGACGCTGCTGGGCAGGCAGCTCGGGAGGCTTCGATGTCCCCTGCTGTTTCTCTCCCTCTCCCTTTCCCCACCGTTTCTGATTAGAAGCACTGGAGAGTTTGCCCTTGTCCGTGACCTCCGGAGGGAGGCAATCAGAAAGGGAGTTTGGATGGGAGATAACTCATCAAGGAAGCTGTCTGCTCTGCAGAGCATCAAATCAGCTGAGAAATAACAACTGTATCACTAAAATTAGCTGAGCATTTGCAGCAGAGACTACGGGGATTGCTGGAGCAAAAGCGGCAGGGAAACGGGCTCAGCTCCACGGGCAGCGCGGACGGGCAGCTCCCTGCCTGCCCCACAAGACCACGTTTGCCACCGGCAATCTTCAGACCCCTAATTTCAGTGTTTCTGTGGGAGTCCCTCGTGCTTGTGCTCTGATTAATATGGCACAGAGGCAAAGGCTGAGCTGGGCCTCTGCTCAGTCACGGCAGAGCTCGCTGAGGCTGTAGGAGGAGGATCCCAGGAGGACCAGGCACTGCATCCTCCATTTGAGCGGCTGGGACAAGGTCCCTGCCTGAACTTTCCACCCATCTGGCATCAGCATGTGTGTAAAACCTCGGGCTCTGCTGCCGCTCAGTGGAGACCAAAGCCTCTCCCTCCCACCGCAACGTCGGGTCACGGGGCTGCTTCAGCCATGAGCGAGCAAACCCGCTGCCCTCTGCCCCATCCCGCTGCTTCTACGACGTTATTTTATTCCAAGCTTAAGCATCACCTCTTCCTGCTGGGTAGAAAAATGCTTGGAATGTAGGTATTTTTGATTTTTGTTAACAAAATAAGGCGCGGGAGGGTGATGCCCGCTGGCCAGAGGAGGGGATCAGGACGTCCTGGGCTGCCCTCCCAGCTCGGCCCCCGTCACCAGCCGCAGCTCGCGAGGTGTCTGGTTGCAGCCCCGCTTCCCGTTCCGAGCCCCACTTCTGCCGGGCGCGGAGCCCTGAGGACTGGCACAAACAATTGAATTTCTGTCTGCTTTATGACCCCACTTGTAAGTGCTGTGACCCCTGCTGGGGTCACGGCCCCTGGTTTGGGAACCACCGTGCTAGGACAAGTCACTTAGACCAAACAGGATGGGTGATTAACCGTAGGAACCAACCCCAAAGTAAGAGGTGGGCTCTCTACCTCTTAATGCCTTCCAATTAAGACCAGATGTCTTCCTGGAAGATGTTTTAGGCAAACCACAGGCTACTGGGCTGCGAGAGAACCTGGGTGAAGTTTCCTGACTTGGGCTATATGGTAGGTCAGACTCCATGATTTGATGGTCTCTTGGCCTGAAGGAAACCTACACTGCAATTGCCTCATTCCTCCTCCAAATAACCTGGTCTTGATCTTTAGAAATACTGTGAAATTGCTGCTGGCGGGGATTAATTGGAATAATAGGACCCTGTGATAGCCAGGCACCTTCTGTGGATGTTTAGGGCTGGATATAGTGTTTAACTTCAAGCATCTTAGTTTTGAATATTTATCCTTAGCTTTACCTGATCTGTAAAATGCAACTATCCCACAAAGGTTCAGGAGACTTAATTCATTACTGTTTTAAAAAATGTTTTCAATTCCCTAGATAAAATATGTCACAGAAGTGCAAAGTATTATTAACTATTATTGATTGTCATTGTGGGAAAAAGTGACCTGCCCTTACAAAAGATTAATGGATTCTTCAGGTTACTGGTGTGATGGTAATTAACAATGCAAACAGAGCTGACGAGACCTTACTTTTTCATTTGTTTCTTACACATTTGTAGCCTCGCTCTTCCCAGCCTCCAAGGGGGAACGGAAAGGAGTTTCTGGGAAGGAGTGGCTCCGCAGGGAGTCCAAAGGTCTGTTTGTTTGTGCCTCGGTGCCTCTCTGACACACCAGTTACACTCCCAAAATGTGCCTCCATCAACAGTCGCTCCGGAGGGAGCGTCTCAGGGATCCCAGGACGGGGCTGAAGGGAACGTTGTGTTGCTGTGAGGCGCTGATGATCTTGGCTGGGCTGAGCAGGCGAGGTGGGAGGGTGCCCGCGCCCTCCGCCCCGCTCTCCGTTAGGCATTCTCCCTCCCCAGGACGTACAGCCGTCTCGTTGTTTTCCCAGATTGCGGAGACCTATGCTTTCCTCCCGAGAGAAGCCGTGACCAGGTTCCTGATGAGTTGCACCGAGTGCCAGAAGAGGATGCATTTCAACTCCAACGGACTGGAGCCCAAAGGTAAAGCAAATGAATTCTGCCAGCAGAGCTGACACAGCATTTCGTACCCGCACGGTGTCACTGAGAGCTGTCAGGATACTGCCCCATCGATGAGCTACTTCTTAACCTAATGGTTTCCCTAACCTGTGTTATTTTCCGTGCACTTTCATAGCCAAGCTGAAAGAGCTGCTTAAATCTGGTTTGTCTGTCACAGTTTTCAGCTTAGAGAGCAGGAGCAGTCTAGCCTTCTTTCCGAGCTTCCCCAGTGCCACTGTACAAAGCTTGGGTCAAAAATTTTTCAGATATATCTGCGATCAACCATAATCTGCTGTGGGTGGAAACTTTGATTCCTGAAAAAATGTGACCTGAAGTTTTTCCTTTAAACTATTAATTTTCTAATGAAAGATGCTGAATAGATCTGGATAACTAAAGTTTCTGATAAAGAAGTAATTTGCAGTCATTAATAGATATGCACGTCATGATCCTATTTTTGATAACAAAGTGTTTTAGTAATCAAAGTTATATTATGCCTGTGTATACAACCAATTAGCGTGGCCATTGTGGTGGTTGGCTCATTATGGTTCTTTTGTAAACGAAACCAATCTGCAGCTCTGAGGCCTAAAAGTTATAAGTGGTGTGTAAGATGGGACCAGGTTACTTCCAGAGTAAATGATTAAAGTTGATATCTGTGTGGGTTTTTTCCTGAATTACAAACTTGTTCTCATGATCAAGTGCAAAGCATCAAACTGACTCGGAGAGGTTTCACCCAACAAAATGACTTCTTGAAAAGAATGTGAGCAAATTGCAAAGAGTTAGACTCTTTCAAAACTGTTAAGGCAAACAGGCTCATTTGGCATCTCTTATCAAGCAGAGAAGCAGAATTAAATGAACAAAGGACCCAACAATAGAAAATTTCTAGTATTAAATACTGATTTCCAACAGTTTACTGCTAGCAGCAGAGCTACGGACAGCCCAGAGGTTCCGTTTAAGTGGATTATGTGTGCCAGCTATCCAAAGCTAGTGACTGAAATGCTTTGTACTCGTTACATTTTTTTTAGAAACTCTCCCAAATAATCCTATGTGACATTTATTAGCCTAAGCTCCATTACCACAGCACTCCCCACTCTGCCGGCTAAGGGCCCGATCCCTCTTTCCAATTAGGTCAAGGGAAGTTTTGGCCTTTGGCCTCACTGGGAGCAAACCTGACCTCTACACCGATCACGCCGCATCCATCGCCCGTGACGTTCCGAGTACTGGGGCTGCAGCAGGCGGCTGGGTGGACGGGAAGGGCGATGGGATGAGTCAGGCCAACAGGGATGTCGCCTGCGGGCCTGACCCAAACCAGGACACTCCAGTGACCACCTGGCACTAGCCGAGGGGGCCGCCCCGCAGCGCGGGACCCCTTTTCAGGAGGCAGCTGATGAAAAGGGTCATTGTTCCTTCAGGGACTCCCCTCCGGCCCACCCACCATCCCCGCCTCTCCTGAGCAAATTTATAAATTAATACCAATTATCAGTTATTTTAGTAAAGCTTCCCCCTTAGCAGTTCTCTTAAATCAAACAGGAAAACAAAGGATCCCACGTGTAAGAAGTCCTGCTCCTTACCCAGCAGGAGTGGAAGGACAGAAGTGCCTTCCTGCTCTGAATAGTACCTAAATAGTGACTAAGTACCTGTGAAAATGCGTAGAGTAGATTAGATAAGGTAACTTTTACTGGGGAGGAGCCTCTGATTTCACTAATACACATTCAGGAATTTATGGGGAACAAGCCACCTAAAAAAACATTGGGGTCAGAGAAGAATTACCTACATGTACACACATACAAGCATATATAGGTAAAGTTTAACTCAGTAAGATGAAAAAAATTTGAGTCATTCCCATCTCTTCCTACTTCTCTTGTCCATTGAATAAATCTCAGCGCATTTCATTTGTGATCACAAAAATCCCTAATTAAACATATCTGACATCAAACCCTTCAGGGCACCCACAGAATTCATAAAAGCAAATTGTCTTGCTCATGGGAAACTTTGAACATCACTGGACTTCGCTGTAATCTCTTTACACTGTTATTAAGACTAATTCCAGTGGAGTAATACAAGTGTGGAATTAGGATCGAAACCATTTTACTTTAAACCACTCTTCCTGTTCCATCTGTATGTCCAACTCATGGGGCATGTGATATAGATAACTTTTTGAAAACTGAGCTAAAGGATTCCAGTAGCCCCCTCTTGTGACGTAGGATATGAAGATTGTTCCTGTGGAGTCCCCCAGGCCTTTCAAAACAAAGGTTTTCTTTCTTTTCCAGTTAGCTTAAAAAAAAAAAGGTTTTGGTTTCTTAGGCTCAGTCTCTTATCTCTTGCAGTTGCACAAATTCACAGTAAATTTGTGGCTGCTAATGAGATTATTCCAGATTTACATCAGGATGGTTTCAGGCAGAATCTAAGCACCAAAGATCTTCTACCTCCCTCTTCCTCCCCATGTGAGGATGCTGCTTCTGTAGAGCCTCATTCATTTCTGCCACCCTGAACTATTAAGTGGGGGATGGCAGGAGAGCAACACATCATCCTCCCAGGTCTGAAAGACTCACCTCATCCACGCCAGTGCTCCAAGGAAAGAGCAGCTCTTTTGTTAGCAAATGTTTTCCTAAACTGTTCTTAGAGACTCAGATACCGATGACTCCCACCAGCCTGGGCAGGTGACAGGTTTTGTTCCCGGGAGCTGTTTCCCCTTTGACGGCAGAACCAGACTGCAAGAAGCACCCCTGGCACTGGGATTTTAGCGTCTTTTCCTCACAAAGTATCATCCTTGCACGGTAGAATAATGGGCTATTTTGGTGCTTAATATATAGAGATGTAGAAGCGCTCTTAATCTGTAGGTCAAAGCATGACGGACACTGACATACAGCCATGAGAAAAGCAAGGAAGAATTAGTTTACAAGGTTCCTAAAAGCTTTGCACCTTCATATTTGAGCGAGCTGAAGGCCTGAGCAGCCCTGGCCACCCTCCCCTGCATCCACAGGCAGGAATGCTTCAGCTGCCCAGGGATGGATTAGACAGGCCTGGGGAAAAAAGCACTGTATTTCCATGGACCCTGTTATTGTCTTGATACAGAAGATCTGCAAAAACCCGTTGTGATGTTTAAGTCACTTACAGACAGTTTTTGGGTCGGGTCATTTCTTAATCAGACACGGTAGATTTAGTATTGCCGGAGGTGTGAAACATCTTCAGGTCTGCTCAGTTTCACTGGGATTTTTTGATATTCAGCATTTCTGAAAAGGAGGCCCATTATGTTTGATGGGTTTTCTAAGGTGCTGTAAAACATTTTGTGAAGGCTCTTTTTCAAGGGCCTGTGTCAGAGGTGTCTGTGAAACCAGTGACCCCAGAGAATGCAAGCCAGCCAGGGAGATTCAGAGGCAGGAATGGAAACTTCCCGCCATCGGTTCGCCTTCAGCTCCTGGGAATCCTCCTTCCCCATCCGTTGCTGCCTAAACTCCCTCTCCAGTGGACACCACGCGTCCCCCAGAGTGTGCTGGAAGGCTGGATTAATTCTCCACACTTAACCTGCTTGTACGGAGGGCAAGGAGACCTTCCTTTCAGCCAGCAGCCACCCCTGTGGGAAACGGCAGCTTTCCTCTTGAACAAACCTGTTGCATGAGGCTGTAAATTCAGTTTTAGAATAGATGATTCCAGCAGTCCTCATGCCCTACGCGGGAGAGCTCGCAAGCTCCACAGTGATGATGCAAGAGCTGACAAGTCTTCGAGAATTCAGAAAAATCATTGAGAATTTGCTTTATGGGGACTCTTCCAGTCTGGCTAGACAAAACAATCTGCAGGAGCGCTCTGAATCTGGAGTGATCTCCAGAGCTCAATATGATGCAGCCAGAGGAATCAACAGGAACAATTTAAATTAAAGATCTTTAAAATTAAGTTTGTGTTTTAATGAGGGTGTTAAAAATAATCTTCATCACCAGATAGAGATACCTAATAAGTTGCCTTAATGCTAACTCCTACCTGAGGGAATCCCAGCAAAATTGGCAAGACTTTGCAATGCTAAAGCAAGCTGCAAATATATTCTTGTTCATCAACCTCTGCATAAATCCCATCGGCGTGGAAGTGCTTCCTCTGCTGCATTCTAGTTTGGTAGACTGAAAAATTATACATTGTGTAGTCTTTTCTGCAGGTGACAGCAATGTTTTTTTTTTTTTTTTTTCTCTCAAAACAACATCTGTTCTGTAATTATGTTCTTGGTGGGGTCGTGTTCTTATAGGAACCTTAACTCAGCGGGCACCAGCTCTCGCTAGGGATTTGAAGTGCTTCTAAATACATATGTTTAATGATTATGAGAACACATTGTAGGTTTGTGCTTCCACATCCCTGTATCTAAATAAAGTTTTTCCTCTGTTCTTCAGAGAGTGAACCACCTTCCTCTTTGGTTTCTGGGATCATTGACTACAACATGCCCCTCACCTCTACTTACCTGAAGCAAATGAAGCTGCGGGTAATGAATTCACAGGAGCAGGTGAGTCGCGCTCCGGGCGCCGGGCAGTGCGAGGTGCAGAGCGGGTTTGTGCCCGTGCTGAAGGGTGAGGGGAGTGACTGGTTCTTGGCACAGTGATTTTTGGCGGATGCTTTTGGAAATGGTCGGTTTGTCCAGGCAGGTCAGGCTGTGACCAAGAGCACCGAGTGCTGGTGCATGGAAGTTGGGAGGGCAGTGTGCCTCCGGTCTTCTGGCTCAGAGAAAGCAAACGGGGCTGCTTCAGGGTCGTGTCAGTGGAGAGGAGCAGAGATGGGGCTGATGCAGTTATTGCTTATAACGGTCTGCTTGTCCTTTAGACATACAGTCCTTCAAAGAAATTGTCTCAAAAATAAATATGGCAAATAGGAATTTATTTCTTTACCTCCTCCTAATTGCCTGGGAGCTTTAGCAGACAGGCTCTGGAACCCAGAGCTTGATTCGGTTGCTCTGGTGCTCTCTTAAACCGGTCAGCAACTCGAGGAAGTTCAACCACAGCCGCTCTGCTCTCGTGTCGAAGTGGGAGAAGGCTCAGCTGTTTGACGAGAGTGTTAAGCCACTGGATTTTGATTTGGGAACGGATGGGGCAGACTGCCACAGGATTATACCCAGGCTGTGCAATTTTCTGAAGTTCTGCAGCTGCAGAATTAGCTATGGGAACCTCTGTGCACCATGGAAACAGTCTATAAAAAGAAAAGTATGTTTTACTTGCTCCCCACAATCTACACTGGAAGCCAGTGCTGGATTTTCTTTCCGGCACACTGAAACCTGAATCTGGTCTCGTATGTTCCTGCCAGTTGCAAGAAGTGAAGAAGCATTGTGCAGTGCTGGAAAACATTGCTGAGAGCTTGAACTGTGCAGTTGGGCCCAGTGGGTACTTTTGTCTAGCAGCACCCTAAAGGGACATTGGATAGAGCATCCATTGCCAGGGTGTAAAATCCCAGACGTGGGTTTGCTGTCAGGAGGTGGAGCAATACCGAGCTCCTCAGTCGCTTCAGCCGTGAAACCTTCTTGGTGGGGGACAAAATGGCATCTGACAGGAAGCACTTCTGTGTTCCGGAGCTTTTTTCCTTTGTGCGTGGTGGACGCTTGAGTGGGTTTAAGGTTTTGTTTGCAATGGCTTATGTTCTAGCTTTTGAAACATGAAAGGTTGTGCCAGGTTTTGCGCTCGGGCTGTCGGGTGGTAGAACTATGGACAGTTCCGGGCTGGGCTGGGCTGGGCTCAGCTGGGTTGGGCTGGGGCTGTGGAATGGATGGATGCGCCGCTTCGTGGCATCTGATGGCTGCTTCGGTGCCACTTTTGGGTATTTTGGATCGAAAGCTGACATATTCCAGCTGCCTTTGGCTCGTGCAAAATGTTTGCTGGGTCTCAGTGCAGCTCCTAGCAGAGAGGCACTAAGACTGCAGAGCCCACCGTCGTCCCTACCGTTGACTGCCAACCTGCTCTTCACCAAGGCTGAGGACTCAGTGGACCATGAAGGCTGACTGTGATTTTCAGCACTGTCAGTGGTTCTTTCAAGTTAAGTTTGATGTATACAAAAGGACGATCTGAGAGGTTTGTCTAGTTACCATTTATGCATTTTCCACCAATTCCTCTTGGCTCCAAAGCCCTGCTCAAGCGAAGTGTGCTATGAAGCTTCATTAACCTTCTGCATCCAGGTTCTACAGGTAGAATACTGGACTTGCAGTTTGATCTTATTTCCATGATGAAAAACACACCAGAAGCTGGTAGTCTTTAGTACTGAATCTTGAGTTTTGAAGCTGCATGCTTAGGGATGCTTGTTTTGAGGACTTTGGTTGGTAATTTAGATTTGAGAAGTTTATACCCTGAATTTTGGTTTATCAGTTTGCACTGGAGCTATCACTAGATAGATAGATGTAACGTGCTGCTGACACCAATACTCTTGAAGCTCGCTGAGATCAGAATAGAAGCATATGTCATATGGGAACAAAGAAGGGACCAGCTGAGGCAACCAGCGGTTGTTGGTTTAGATCATAAATCAAACGGCTTGATGTTATTCCCTGCCTCTAAAGTTTTTCTTTTCCTGAGCTCTCATCAGTATGTTACAGAGCAGCTTTCTAAGATTTTCAAGCTGTAGCAGCCAAGGGAAAAAAATATTTGGAAGAAGTAAGATTTGCCATTCAGCTTGTTACTGAAACTGATTCCTGAGAGCAAAATAACAAAAGATCAGTCTTATTGCTCAGGCTGCTGAAGCATTAAAGCTTTCTGTGAGATCTGGAGGTAACGACAGTCTGGAGAGGACGCAGGTAGTCGGACCCAGTGGAGAAAATCCAGTGGGACTTGGGTGCCGTCCGTTCCAAGATACGGGACAGTCCCTGGCTTCCCCTGGGGAGACAAGTGCCACGCTCCTCAGGCAGCTGTGGCTGAACCTGGAGCTGCTGACGCTGAAGTCTATGTGAAGAAAATGTGTGTAATAATATCAATAGCAGGCTTCAGTTCCCTCCATCAAGCATTCCCCTGCTACTTTTTTTCCTTCTTCATAGTTCGCACTGGAGTCACGACAGTACCAGCCTTTTTTCCTGGAGGATCCTAGCAGTCTTTGTGGAGCATGGGCTGTGAAACATGGGCTGCTGCTCTCCCTCACCCCGGGGAGGGAATTTTAGGGTTAGGGACTTGCAGCTCATGGGATTCCAGGTGTGTACAAACTGGAAAGGTCCTCTAAAGGTGATGATAGAAAAAATTCTGACTCTGCTACAAATGCAAAACGAATAAAATACAACGTGCTTATAAAGTTTGCACTACAGAAATATAAACTGCATGGTTTTTATATAACACCATTTACAAAACGATACTGGTTCCTCTTTAGCTCAGCTGTGCTGCCATGCCACCTTACTGCCTCGCACTCACTAACATTTGATGGGGATAATAGGAATAAATTAAGCAACGGACTTGTGTTTGACTTGGCTTTTGCCAAAAGCAATTATTTGTATGCAGGAGCACCAGGAGGAACTTGCTTCACTTGAGGTAACAATGAATGAATTTATGCCAAAGTGGCCTTTTAACTTAATTATTCAGGAAAAAAAAAGTGTGCATGTAACTGTAATTTATTAGTGCTGCTAAGCACATCGGTATTAGGGCAACAGTGTCTCCAGAAGGAAGCACAGTCAGAAGAACCTTAGAGAAAGCATTTTATCTCTGCTTAGGGACAAAACAGTCAGGAGAGGAGCTCTTTACATGGTTGCTCACAAAATGAAAAGTTCCTGCAGAATATATTTCAATATATTTCTTGGAGTCAGTACATTTATTCTGGCATGACGGAGAACAACTGTGACCCATGTTGCTTAAATTGGGTTCACTAGAACATGCAGGAGCTTCAGGGGTGTGACTCTTCCTTCATTCCCATTTTATACCAATTCTCACATCTCTGAGAAAAATCAGGCCCCTTACCCTTTCCAGAGAGTGCCAAATTAGCCACATTTCAGGATATCAACTGAGGCATTAAAGCGTCTCTGAACTTCTGACCTTCCCAATCTAGCAGCAAAAAGGAATGAAAAGAAGATATTTATCTATAATGATCCTTCCACCTCATTTTCAAATACTAAATATTAGCATTTTTAAATGATTGGTTATTCAAGTTTATTGCAGTCATTTTCCAGACAATCTTTTCTGTCTTATTCAAACTCAGCCTTGGATTTATTTTTCATGCCACACTGTTGGGCATGATTTCCACTGGTGGCTGGTAGAATATGAAGATTTTAAAAGAACAAATCCCAGCACTAAAATGCCAGGCTCACTTTTCCTGCTCTGGAGATGTTGCTGCTACGTTGGCAGACATGGTCCAGGGCCGAGTAACCAGGTTTAAACGGTACAGAAATATTTTCAAAGGTTGCTTCAATGACTGCTGACAGAAGGTCATGCAATCAGTGAATGGCAGGAGCTGCTCTTGGATGGGAAATAACCCGAGTGTTTTTCTTGTTGCCATGGCTTTGCTACACTGCCTTGTGTTTGAGAGGGACAGAGCCTTGTCCTGCACCATCCACGCTCCACCCATCCAGTAAATTCCCTGTAAACCTGGAGCGCGTGACGGTGCGTGGATGTGAAGTGGTTTTCAAAACCCGGGTTCAGGCAATGTTTTAACCCAAACAGCAGGGTAATCCTGGAAGGGGAGACACGGGGGCTTAAATCCCACGGGTGTCCAGGGAGTTGGCTTCCTCTAATGCTGGTGAGGATCGAGCCTCCTCTGCAGGCTTTGGGCGACCAGAGGCTGGTTTGCAATGTTAAGTTCTCCTCCTTCCACTCTGCCTTCTCCCTGGTCCACACGTTATTGTGTTTGCTCACTTAAGTGTCTCAGAAGGCTCCGGTATTACCAGAACAGCCAAGATGCATCTTCCCCTGGCTGCTCACTTGCTTCCTTCTGCTTCAGAACCATCTCCAGGCTAATCCTGGGGGTGCAGAACTGGCACAGGGGAGGCAGCAGAGGCAGGGCGGGGAGCGAGCGGCTGCAGAAGGGGCACGCTAGATTCTCATTTTCGGTCTTTAAGTTCACTTGTCAGAATTGCAGACATCTCATTTCACGTAGTTCAGAGATGAGAACCAAATCTGGCAGAGCTGGCAGCTGCTGTGAGAGATCCGCGACCTGGATTTATCCGTTCGAGTGCTTAGGGAAGGGATCCCAAAGAAACCCTGTATGTCCATAGATGTGCAGAGAAGACAGAAGCATCCAGTCAGTATTTGGAAGGAAGTGGGATGATGCGTTTGCATCACATGAGAATGATAAGGTACTTCCCAGTCCATTAAAGAGGGTGTTAAACATCTCCAGGAATGAATAGCTCTAAATCAGCTTGATGAGATAACCCTCATTCGAGAAGCCTTTCCTTGGCTTAGGAAGGTCTTTGTTCCCTGATGTTAATTTTTAAGACATTTTGGAGCACTAGAGAAGATCCCTAAATGCACCCTTACACACAGAAGAAAGGGGATTATTGGCTGTACAGAGTGAGGCACCGTGACCATGGCTGTTTGAGATACAGATCTGATCTGTGGGATCAGGGCTGTCTTGTGGATCCATTGGCAAAGCCGTGTCTAGCAGAGCTGCAGCCTCTGCTGGAAGGAGTGGGCTTTGCCTGGTAAATTGAAATTCCGCCCTAAATGAGAGACTTTGTCCAGGCAAAAGCCGTCAAGGCAGGTCCAGCCATCATAACAGCGTTCTTTACTGGCAAAGAGAGTTTAGCAAAACTTTCATCCTTGGCTGTAATGGCTCATGAGATGCAGGAGGTCAGATGATCAAACCATTTAGCCTGGTTTCAAACTCGTGTGAATGGCTTGCTTTCAGTGAAGGTCAACTCATTTTTGTTATTGGCATTAACTCTGACGTTCCCAGCTAGTAAAGACTTAAGAGCTTTTATTTCCCATTGTGTAGATCTTTCAGTATTTTCCCAGCGTAGCTGCATTACAGGTGAGCTTTGTTCAATGCCACGCTCAATGCAGACAAACAATTTGAGACCCCGCCTCGGGCCGGCTGGGATAAATCCTGCCACTGCAGCTTTCGTCTTCAAATGAGGTGTGATGCCAAGGCCCTGACTCTTTGCAGTTTCGATGAAAATCACATTATTTTCTGTGAGAAAGGAAGTGTTAGTTTGAATCAAGTGGCACTGCCTGATGCCAGTGATGCTAGGCACAATTCGTGCTCCTGAACTGCTCGGGTATATTTAGTTGCCACGTGCAACTGGTCCGGTCCGTTTTCCTCACTGGTAGCTGTGCACTGGTGGGGGGAACCCGGTCCCTTTCCCACTCCCTGTTCCCTTCCCTGTGATGTTGTGGAGCTTAACCAGGGTCCTGGAGAGGTGTCTGGGGGATGGTTAGAAGTTTATCTCACACTCGGTGGCGCGGGGCCCTCCGCCGCACACACCTACCCGGGGTGGGCGGTCTCCCGCGCTGCCGCCCGAGCAGCCTTCTGGAGCCCAGCTGCTTTACCCTGTTTCTGGGACCACTGAGCTCATGGGGCCAGAAGCCACATTATCTGTCTTTAATTCATCATCTCTTCCAAATAACTCCCGGATTTGGTGAGGGGAGATGCTGCCCATTCCCCGAGCAGTAACCAGCATCAAAGGCAGCTGTTCCCAGTAGAACTGGAAACAGAGTTTTGGTTTAGGTCCTGTAACGTGGGGCCAGGAAATATTCCCAGGGGGAAGTGTAAAGACCTGTACCGCCCGTTGATGAAAGAGTTTAACATTCATGGAATAGTCTTATGGATCCAGTTAAATTTATCCTGTGCTGTGGAAAGCTTCGCATGGTGAGGTTTTCTGCATCGTCTCCCAAGCTCGAGTGCTGATGTGCTCTATGTTGACTTTGATCAAGTCACACAAATCGCTGTTTCTTAATTGCCTTCTCCCTTTAAAAAGGGGATAATACCTTAGAGAGACTTCTGAGGTCTCACTCACTAATAAAGCTCTTCAAGCTTGGATGGCAACTACTTTGAGAGCGCGAACTATTATTAATGATTTCCGTTATTATAGAAGATGAAGCTGTGTGGTTCAGCTTTTTAACCTTGAGTCGTGTACTTGCTTTTGTTTCCGCTGCTGTTAAACCTGCGCAGGCAGGCTTGCACCTTGCCTGGTTGCACAGACTCCTCAGACCCACCTCGTGAGCCTTCTGTGCGCAAAACGGGCGTGCGTATCTCTGAGGAGCCGGTTTTACTCACAAAGATGGATTCTGAAACACGCCGGATGGCTTCAGAATGGCCAAAGAAGGGTTTAGTGGTGGTTCGGTTTAAGTGGGCTCGATTCTGATTTGGGTGGCCAAGAGATAAGCTGTAAGGGTCATCCACAACGTGTAACACAATGCAGACGTTCCGGCCGGTGCTCTGGGCTTAGGCTTTGGCAAGAAATGCTAGGGGATATTTGACGGTGATTGACCCGTCCCTTCAAACACCCGTTCCCTCTGCTCCAGAGGAAGGCAAATTCCATCCACAGGAGCAACTCCCTTCTTGCTCCTTCACTTGGCAGTGACTGGTGTACCCCGAGAAGTACGGAGCTGTATTTCCTTTCCATCTCTTGGTCTTGGCTCCTGGGGAAAAAACCGCTTTTATTCATGATGCTAACAACTGCTACTTTTACAGAAGGAGCGACCGAGATGCAGTGGGAATAGAGCCCTCAGCCCACAACAAATCTGGTCTGTAATAGTTTCCCAAATCTTTACTCTCCTTTTCCTCCTGACTCCGATCTGGATGGCAGATAAGTTGAAATACGTTGTAGATAAAAGCTGTGTGACTGGGGCCCTCCTTCAGCAGCCCTTGCGCAGCGCTGCCCTGCCTGCCCCCTTCCCCCCCCCCCCCCCCCCACCTGGCCTTGCCCCTGAGTGATTCGCATTTTAATGCTTATTACCCAGCAGGGTTTGATGGTGACGGAGGACCCAATGCAGGAGGTCCCATTTGTTATTTAACCTACTTTTCAGAGGCACAAGAACATCAAGTGACTGGCACAAGGTCGCCCATGAGTCAGGGACTCCTCTGGCATGATGGCTGGATCCTGCCATCCTACAGTCCCCTGCTCTCACCGCTAGATCACCATGCCCACACTCCTCAACAACACAACTATTCAATTAAGCTCCTACGGTGCCTTAAATGTAGTTTATTCCTGGGTTTGACAGCAGCTCTGGTGTTCTTGCGGAGCCTCGCCTTAGGAAATGACGACAGATGAGGTCAGGGCACCGTTGGCGATGCCCTTGGAAGCGTCACGGCCTGGTACGCGGGCAGGCTGGGCGGCGCGGGGCCCTCACAGCCGGGGCACGGCTCTTCTCGGGCCCTGCAGCTCGGGCTGCGGGGGCACCTGGCGGGACCCTGGCCCCGCAAGCGCAGCCTGCCAGCCAGCCCCGGGTCTTCTGCATGGGCAGAGCTGCGTCCGTGCGAAGGGGTTTGCAGGGACCAGAAGTAGTGAACACGCTGCGAGGAGAGAGGGCAGGAAGCGGCTTATAAATAATATATTTGATGTGTATTTTATATATATAATAACAGTAGTACTGGTTTATTATGGTGTGGGTTTTTTTAACATGTAATCTCATAAGGCACCCCTGTTCCTGACAACTTGATAAATTATTATTACCAATTCTCTATCTAATTGCTAGTTATTTCCCCCTAGATAATTTGAATCCGAAAAACACCCGCTAGAAAGGAGCTTGGCGTGCCGTTTCCCAAAGCCTCCCTAGCTGTTTCTGGAGGGAGCCCCTCTTCCGCCGGTGAGCCCCACTTCTGCCAGCCTCGTGACCCCGAGCGCTGGCACAAACAATTGCATTTCTGTTGGGCTCATGACCCCACTTGTAACGGCGGTGACCCCCCTTGGGTCAGGACCCCTCCCCTGCGCGGGGTAGAGCTCCTGCCCAGCAGCTATTGCTGTTCCTCCCTCGCTCCCTGTGTGGACGCGGCCGTTCCACACTTAAGTTTGCTGATGTGAAATTTAGGTTAATCCGTTTCCAAAGTGGATTAACCTAACCCACACAAAGGCACTTAGTACAAAATAAGAGCGTCCACATGGTGAGGCAGCACAGAGTATGGCTGTGCTTCAAAAACTCGCACCCTGGCCAGTTCGTGTCTGCTGCGAGCTCTCCAGGCGGAGGGCAGGCGCCTCGCTCCCGGGGGATGTGCTCTCCTGAATGGCTTTGAGCTGGTCTAGCTCGAAGCCGAAGGGAGAGCAAGGAGTAAACAAAGCCCAGCAATGGGAAGGGGTTAAAAGCCCGCTCCACTGAGGTCCACGGCAAGTCTCCCGTTCACCTTAAATGGTCAGGATTTTATTTTAGCTTCAGGGAGGAGCAGCAGCCATTGAGCTGGAAGTGAGCGCAGAGCAGGCCCCGCGGCCGACCGGGGGGCTCGCAGCCCGCTGCCCTCCCGGCCGGGGGCTCCGCTCTCGCCCTTCAGCCTCTGGCTCCACCGATCAGCCTGGAGAAGGTGGAAAAGCCAATACCGGGCGACACCGGTTTTCACCTCCCGCCTCGGGTCTTCCCGCGCCGCCCCTCCTCCCGTGCTCGCTCTCCCTGGCAGCGAAGTGGTTAAGGCTGGAGTAGAAAACATCATAATTGGACATCCGCACTAACAAGCCATAAACATGAATGTGGCCGTTCCCATCCCCGGCTCTGGCACCGGCCTACCGCAGGCTCCGACGCCGAATGCGTTACACTTGGTTTATTTTGTAAAAATTTCCTTCGTAACCATTAAACGGCGAGAGACGCGGGGTGGGCTGGGGAGGGGGATGCCGAGGCGCTGGTGCCCAGCGCGGTGATCCCCACCCGGCGGGAGGTCACCGACCCGCTGCCCTCGGGTACCGGCCCGGGGATGCCAGGACACGCCGCCTTGCCCGCCCGCAGCCGGGGCGCAGCATCCCCAGCCCCCCCGTGACCCGGTGCCCAGCGCAGGGCTGTGCTGGGGGGCACGGCCGAGCTCGGCGGGCGGCCTCGCTGCCAAGGAGCTGCCCTGAAGAGCCGCTGATTTAACAACAGCCGAGATCCGAGGCACAGGCAGAGGCCGCGGCGTCGGGCGATGCTGCTGCTGGCAGAGCAGGGTCCTTCTTCTGCTCCCAGGGTGCGATAGGGAGAATCGTCGGAAACAAAAGGATTCAGCAGAGGCGGCAGCGCGGGGCCTGGGCACCGCTGCGCCCCCGGAGCGCGGGGCAGGGGGAGCCGCGGGGCGTCCGCCGGGACTTGTGCCCCGCGGCCCGGCCGAACCCCGGGCGCTGCCCGGGCCGGAGCTCCCGGGGCCGGGCTGAGGAGCCGGCCGGGCTGCGGGTCACCGGGCCGTGCCGAGCCGGGTGTCCCCGGGCGGGCTGCACCCCCCGCGCCGAGCCGAGCCGAGCCGAGCCCAGCCGTGCCGTGCCGAGCCCAGCCCAGCCGAGCCGAGCCGAGCCCAGCCGAGCCGAGCCGAGCCGAGCCGAGCCGTGCCGAGCCGAGCCCAGCCGAGCCGAGCCCAGCCGAGCCGAGCCCAGCCGAGCCGAGCCCAGCCGTGCCGTGCCGAGCCCAGCCGAGCCGAGCCGAGCCCAGCCCAGCCGAGCCGAGCCGAGCCGAGCCCAGCCCAGCCGAGCCGAGCCCAGCCGAGCCGAGCCGTGCCAAGCCGTGCCGAGCCGAGCCGAGCCGTGCCGTGCCGAACCGAGCCCAGCCGAGCCGAGCCCAGCCGAGCCGAGCCCAGCCGAGCCGAGCCGTGCCAAGCCGTGCCGAGCCGAGCCGTGCCGTGCCGAACCGAGCCCAGCCGAGCCGAGCCCAGCCGAGCCGAGCCCAGCCGAGCCGAGCCCAGCCGTGCATTCCCGCAGCTCTCCAGCAGGCGCCCGGCCCTGGACATTGTCTCTTCCTCCCGGAGGAAGGGCCCTCCCCGGCCCCTCCACAATGTGCTCTTCCAGGCGCGGCTCCCCGCGCCCCCCGCCGCGCCCGGCCCGGTGCGCCCGCCCCCCGCGGCCCCGCTCCCCTTCCCCCGCCTCCCTCCTCCCGCGGCCGGGCCCCGCTCGCCCCCCTCCGCCTGCCCGGCCCCCCCCGGGAGCCGGGAGTGACGCGCTCCGCAGCGCCGGCCCCTCTCCCCGGGCAGCAGCTGGTTGTCAGCCTCTCCGGAGCGCCGCCAGCCCGGGCCCCCTCCCTCCGTCCCTCCGTCCCTCCGCCCCGCGCTCCCCGCCGCGCCGCTGGGCTGGCGCAGGCCGGCAGGCCCCAGGCCCCGCTCCAGGTAGGCGCCCGCCCGCGGGGCGAGAAGCGGGGGAACGCGGAGGGGGGGGGGGGGGGATGCGCGGGGCGTGGGGGCTCCACGCGGTCGCGGCGCTGCGGGGAAGGGGGGGGGGGGGGGGGGCTGGCGGGCGGGGCGGGGCGGGGCGGGGGGGGGGCGGCCGCGGGGCCCTGCCCCAACTCCCGGAGCCGGGGGGGAGCGGCCGCCCCGCCCCGCTTCCCCGGGAAGTTGCGGGTCGCCCGCTCGGTTAGCCGGCGGCGGGAGGAGAAGGGGGGAAGGGGGGGGCAGGTTGGTGCGTCCTTCCCCGCGCCCGGCGCGGCTCCCCCCTTCCCCGGAAGAGCACAAAAGCGCAGAAGAAAGTGGGAGGAGGAGGAGGAGGAGGAGGCGGCGGGAGCGCTCCGGCCCCATCAATTCCCGGGCACCGGCCCCGCGCCGCCGCCATCGCCGCCCGCCCCGGCCCCGGCCCCGGCCCCGGGCGGGGATTGCGCTGGAAATAGCCGCCTCCCTGGAGGTAAAGCCCTACTTACGTGTCAATCCCCGCCGCACGCTGAGCCCCGGCTCCACGCACGGTCTCCATCGCGGGTGTATTTATTTACCTGCGGGCGTTGGGGGGGGGGGGGTGGGGGGGTGGGCGCGCACGCCCGGCTCCCGGTTTCTCGCTGCTGCGGGGAGACACGCGTGGGAACCGCGTCCCACCGGGGGCGGGGGGGACCCCCGGCCGCTCAGCCCGCAGCGCTGCCCCCCCGCCCGCTACACTCCTCCAAGCCGGGGGGGGGGCCCCGACACGCCCCCCTCCAACACCCGCTTCCCGGTGCTCGTGGAAGAGCAAAGTGCCCGTTCACACCGCGCGGTTTCTGGATATCCAGAGCCCGTCCCCCACCTCGCGTGGAAAAGCAAACGCCTGCCCGGCTGGGAGCAAGTTGAGGTGCTGGGGAGGCGCGTGCGGGGCCCTGGGGCGGGGGGGGGGACACGCGGGTGTCTGTCTGTCTGTCTGTCTGTCTGTCCGTCCCCGCCGAGCAGCCGGGATGCGGGGGCTGCGGGGCCACCCCTGCGCAGCATCCCTCGGCTTTGGGGCGGTGGGACCGCTCCGGGGGGGCCCTGGATGGGAGCTCCGAGAGAAGGGGGAGGGGGCAGAGGTGATGAGCTTCCTTTCCTCTTCCATTTGCCGTTCGCCTTTTAAATGAACTCTTCTGCCTGGTTTTGGGGAACTAGCAAATACTCGTTTTTGCCGCGTCCCGTGGAAATCAGCAGAAATTGCAGTAAATAAGGACGTAAGTGACCTGACAAAGAGCGCTGGGGATGTTCTGTTTGGTGTGTGAATTGCACACACGAGTAGGCAGCGCAGTCACAGCTCGCTGCCACCGCAGCCAGCGTACACCCGTGTGCTTCAAGGCTTCTCGGGCTCTTTGAAGCAATGACCACCACAATATTTGTGGCTGCAGTATCAATCTTTGACCTGGAGTGTTTTATCTGCCATTAGTAAGCCTTTCTCTGCGCTGAACTGGTTAAGTTAGGGTCAAATCTGGTTCAATACCTTCTTGGCATGCTCAGAGGGCCGGGTTTAAACAGTGGCTGAGACGGAGGTGAGGCTGCCTTCCCGAGAGCTGGGCTCTGCCCCGGCCAGGTTTGGCAGGTCCGGGGGCTGCCCGTGCCGGGCAGGTCGCGGCTGGCACGGCGGTGGAGCAGCTCCGGGGGCTGGCAGTCACGCGTTGCCTTTTGTTGACTCTAAAAACACGGCTGCTTCTGGTGGGAAGCTGAGCGTGGCTGTGTGCTGGGGAGGTTGCATGGCACACAGCCTCGGTTCCTGCTCCGCGGAAAGGAAATCCCATCGGGGCAGTAGGCTGTGGCGTGAAAGGACACGTTTTAAAAGAAAAGGACTCACAGAGAGAAAATAAACCGTCCTGAGACTCGGAGCCTGGAATATTAAGCATGAGGCACAGCATGTAAATGACTGGAGAGAGGCTTGCAAGGCAGTCCCTGAGAAACTGAGCCTGGCTGTAAAATAAGCAGGTTACTGATAGCCTTGCATATATTTACGAGATACGGTTATAAGAGTAGCTTCCCCCCCTGCCCTGCTCCAGCCCGCGCTATGGGAGGCTGTTCTCCAGGAAGGAGAGCCGCCAGTGAAGAAACATTGTCTAGCAGTTAAAGCCTCGCAGTCCGGAGGTCCTGATTGTGTTCCTGGATCTGCCAGGGACTCGCTGTGTGCTTCGACCAGCCCGGGGGCTGTCAGTACCCGGGTTTCCAGCTCTGTAATAGGAAGAATACTTTTCTAACTCAGAGGGAAGTTGAGAGGCTCAGCGGATGCGTGCACGTGCGGTGCTCGAAGATTGGTCAATGGAAAGTGGGACAGAAATGCGGAGTGTGAGTCTTGCACATGTGAGTGTCTGCCTTTGCCGGTTAGAAAATACTGGCTGCGAGCGTCTGCAGAGCAGCTGTGAATGTTGGACTGTAGATAAGGAGAGGAGCAAGGATGTTGTTTTCCAAACCCTGCGCGGTGCCGGGAGCCCAGCTCCGATGTTTGGGTGTGGCCTGTGAATGCACCAGCAGGATCCGACTTCCCCTTGCAGAAGAGGAGCTGCACGCACGTTGCCTGACCCTTGATCGCTCAATCCCTTGAACGTTGGAAACAAAGCGATGGGACTTTACCGCGGGGTGAGGAGATCTCTCCGGAGAGCTGGGAAAGGCAGGAAGGAGGAGGGCGGCAGGGGCAGCGCTGGGGTTCGGGGTTCAGCTCTGGGCTGGCTGGTTGGGGCAGCCACTGTCACTTCCATCTGTGCCACGAGTGGCGTGGGACTGGGGAAAAGGCGGCTGGTCCTGAGACAGGCGCTGGTAATGGATTGCGTTCTGTTTTCTAATGAAAGTTTCATTTGAAGTTTGTTTACAGGAAAGAAGAAATTAGCAGAGAGAATTCTCCTGAGAACCCAGAGAGGAAAAAGAATGAGCTGCCTGACTTGCAAGCCAAAAGAGGGTGGAAGGGTAGATTAGATTTACCGTATTGCTCCGAGTCGTAGCTGTCGCTGCTGTTGAGAAACGCTTCCTTGTTTGGCTGGACAGTGGAGCCCGCTTCGAGGCTCAGCCTTCAGCCAGGTTACTGGCATCGGGGGGCAGATTCAGAGCTGCCCACCCAGCCACGAATTTTGATCCCGCTCTGCTGTCCTGTGTTTTGGTGCCGGGACGTGTGCTGTGCTGCTGTCCCTCCGCTCCAGCCGAGCGAAGTGGGGCTGCTCCCGGGCCGTGGCTGGGCAGCCGGTGCTCCGGGCGCTGCTGCCGGGGCCTCCCGGCCCTGGGATTGTCCCTGGCGTGAGGGGGACAGCGCCGGCAGCCGCTGCTGGCACCGAGGGGGCAGCACGAGGAGGTCACGGCGCTCAGCCTTTGGCCTCCGAGGGGTGTCCTGGGGAGGGAGCTTGGTGGTGGCCGCTGGCGTCCCAGCGAGCAGCGAGGGGCGCAGCCGAGGGGCGGTGGAGATGCAGAGCCACCCTCGAGGTTGCGGCCTTTCTCTTGCTTTAGGGAAGAGGCACGAAGGTGTGAGGAGCTCCCGGGGGCACCGTGGCGTGGGCAGAGCTCTCTCAGCAGTTCCCTCCGCCAGCTTTGGCCATTCCCCGCTGCTGTGGAGGGCTCACCCGACGCTGCCCGCACAGTCGTCTTTGCATTCCCCCGGGGTGGGCTGTGCGCTGCCGGGAAGCTTGTCCCGTTGGTGTTTTTGCCAAGGGTGAAAGTGCTGGAAAGCAGAAAACTCTGGCTGGAAAGCCGGGGGTGACAGTGGGGACGGCGCCGCCTGGCAGGGTCCCACAGCAGCAACCTGCTCTTTCTGCTGGTGGCTGGACCCTGGACTGGTGAACGTCCCGCAGCCTTGTTTGACTCGAGTCATTTATAGCTTATCAGTTCCTGGTTTGATACCCGGAGTATTTCTAAGAATAGGCAAATGTTATTGCACCTCGAGAGAATTGTACACATTTATAAAGCGCTTTACACAGCATGTGCATGCGAGGCACCCTTCATGTCGCCGCTTCTCCACCGTGCGTGAGTGCTGGGAGAGCCTGAGGCCTCCCGGGTCGTGGTTTGGGTGCTGAGGCTGGGTGTCCCCTGCAGCCCAGCCTGGCGGACACGGTGCCTGCGCCAGACGCTTTCCGAAAACATCGTGGGTTGCTCCCGGGGCTCCTCCTCCTCACCGCACAGGTGAGAGACTGTGGGCAGCAAGGACCTTGGCATTTGCGTTTGTGTCTTAAGCTCTGACAGTAATCTTGAGTAAGCCTTGTGAAGAAGGCCAGATATTAGGGTGGCTGCCTCCCTGCAAACGCTTACAATAAAGAGACTATTTATAGTTTGCAACAGGGAGACCTTTGCAGTTCTGTTCCTGTACGTACAAGATGGAGTTTCTGGAGAGGCAGGATTGCTTCGTGGCTGGTGTGGCAGCGGTGCTGTGCTGAGCTGGGGGACGCCGTGCCCCCCCCCCCCCCCCCTCCCCTCCCACCTCTCCTGCTCTGCTCAGCCCGGGCACGGGGGGGGCTGCACAGGGGGCTCTGGGGTCGGGGGGTGTCCCCGTTTTGTTGACAGGCGTGCATGGGTCTGCTGAGCCCCGTCCGTCCGTCCGTCTGTTGGGGCGTGCGGGGTTTCACAAGCTGTAAATTCCAGGAAACTCCCCGGGAGGCACATGGAGGGAGCGGGCTGGGGGCGGGCAGAGCCCCGAGCCAGCAGATGTGTCTACAGGGATGAGGAGCAGGGAGGAAAAGCACAAACCTGTCTTGAAAGACATTTGTTTGTTCACAATAAAAACTGTCAGCCAGCGGCGGCCAGACAGGGCAGTTTTTATGAAGCGCAGGCGTAGGTTGGAGGGGCGCTTGCCAATTGCTTCTTACACGGAAAGGGAGCGGGGATTGTATTTTATCTCAGGACCAGGGGGAGGGAGGAAAAAAAAAAAAAAAAAAAAAGAAGAGCAGAGAGTTTACAAGCCTTTGAAATGTTTCAATCAAAGGAAAGCGCAGTTGAAAGCGGTTCTGGAAACATTTTTGGTGTTCCCCTGCACCCCAGGGCTCTGGATGCGGTCTCTGCCCCTCGCGTTGGGAGGGGAGCAGGGAGAGGAAGGCAGATAAAGGGATCACCGGCAGGACCACGTTCATATGGGAACACGTATCTGCTTCCTCCCGAGCTGCATGTTCGGGGAGTTCAGCCCGGGGAGGTCCCGCCGCCCCTCCTCTCATTCAGGATCTCAGTGCTGCCTTTATGATGATGGTTTTGAAATCCTGTGGCTGACCTTTCCGGCGCTGGAAGCGATCCAAGGGCTGTGTCTCGAAGTACTGCAAAGGTTAGCGAGAAGGGAGAGAGAGGGAGAGGGAAAATGTCCTTTCAGCTGCAGGAGTGGGAGAGAGGAATGTCATCTATGCCGTCGGGGAGCAGGCGGCTGGCTGGGCTCCCCGGCCCGAGCTGGGGTGTCCTTGCCTCGCAGGGGACCTCGCTCCCCCAGCCCCTTCCCAAGGTGCGTGCTGTCATTTTTCATCGGGGTACGGAGCCGGTATCCCTTTGGGGGCCGGGGCAGCTGTCCCTGGGGGCTGTGCTCCAGGAGCCTCCTCTGCAGCGTGGGGCAGGGCAGGGCAGGTCTGTGGGGATGGGTGCCGCCAGCCAGATCTGCCCCACGGCCGCTCCCTGCCCCTGCCAGTCCTCGGGCCATGCCTCTCGCAGCAGATGATTTGATGTCAAAAAAAACTCTTTGAGAGGTTTTTACGGGGCCGTTTCAATGGAGTTGCACCCGTCCTGGGCTCCCGCGCGCCGCTGCCTTGCCAGAAACACGCCGGGTGGATGGAGATTAAAGGGTAAACTCCAGGGCTCAGCCATCCGCTCCTACAGGATGCGAGCTCTTTCTAATTGTCCTCAATTAGAGACAGTGCCATTGCTCAGGCACGTCTTCAGGCAGGAAGCAGCACCCAGCCCGGCCAAGGGAAGGGCTGCTCCAGCCGAGGCCTTGGCGAGCGCCGAGGGGCCAGCAAAGCGTTCTTGGGGGGCAGGAGCTGCCCAGGGTGGTGAGGAGATGGTAAGGGCAGAGAAAGGAGGGAAGAAAATAGCTCCGCGAGTTAACCCTTTCCTCCTTGCCTCCAGGATGAGACATCGGTGAGCAGCGAGGACTTTGATATGAACGACTCCACATGGATCTCAGCTGACCAGCACCTGAACTCCAGCCTGAGCCCCAGCCAGGACGAGAGCATGCGCAGCCCGCAGAACCTGCACGGCCACGAGGACGGTGAGTGCCCCAGCGAGCGGGAAGCGCTCTGCGCCTCTGCTGCAGGATGTTTTTGTGGCTTATTAAACATTAACCAGTCCTTTCTGATCAGGTGTCCCACCTGTAGGATGGATTTCGTATCAGCGCAGGCTTCGAAGCAGCGCTGACTCCCAGTCCTTCCCATTTAGCCTCTGGGTCCCTGCTCAGCCAGGGCCCTCGCCAGCTCAGAGCTGATAGTCCTTGTGCGGGGACCTGGCTCCCAGCTCCTCCAGAAAGAGGTCACCAAATCCTGTCCTAGGGCAGCAGGTTGTGGTTCCTTGGGTGTGACGAGGAGAGCCCTGCCCTGCGGGCTGTGCGCTGTCCCGCTGCAGGAAGGATGCCAAGGCTTCGCAGTGCAGGTCGCAGCTTTCCGCGCCTGGAAGGCTGCGCCTTAGACAGCATCTTGGACCCCCCAGGCAAGAAAGGTGTAATCTGCAATAGCCGGCAGTGATGGGAGCGTGGGGTGGCCGTGGGTGTCTCCTCTCTCAGGGCAGGCGGTTGGAAGGGGCTGAAGGTGGCACACAGGGGCTGGGCGGGAGGAAGTGTTTGGTGAAGAGAGGTGGTGCGTTACTTCTGCGAAACATGCTGGTTTAAAATAAAAGAGCAAGTAAATAAATGGTAGAAGTACGAGTTCGGGGTCAGGGTTCATCTCGGTGATGCTTGGAAGGTTTCGGTGGTTGGACTGTTACCGGCTTTTGCTCGAGAGCCTGAATCCCTCATTGTCCCCAGCCCGGCTGCTGCTGGGAGAGCGGGAAGGGAGCGCAGGAGTTGAGGGACAGCCTGGGCTGCGTCGGTGCTGCTTTAAAAAAGGGGACAGGAAAACCACCCCGGAGGAAAGAAAGGGCTTTTGTGCTGGCAGGTCTCCCCGGCGTGGCTTTAAGCTGCTTGTGTGGCCAGTGGCAGGGACAGCAGGGACAGCAGGGACACTGCTCTCTTCAGTCCAGCACGCTGTGGCACTTGAGTTTCTATTGCAAAGCTGCAGCCTTGGGAAGCGGCTGGTTTTAACTAACTAGCACCAGCCCCGGAGTCAGGCAGCCTTGGTGAGGGTGTGAAACCTGCCTGTGCTGCCCCACGTCCCGGTGGCGGGACAGGCAGTGACACTTGGGCTCGCGCGGGGCCTGGCAGCGGGGCCCTGGCCGGAGGAAGGGCGTTTTGGTGGTAACAGAGCTGCTCACCTCAGGCACATTCGGCTCTTCGGGGCCAGGCTGCGCCCCTCGCCCCGGGCAGGCGCTGCCTCTCACACCCGTGGCCTGGCCGGGTCTCTCCGTACCCCCTCGACTTGGCCACTCTCCTGTCGGGACATTTTGGGCTTGTGACTTGTCCCGCCCCACTGAATTCCCACGTCTCATTTACAATCTAGAATGACACGGTTTTGATCCCTTTGCTGAACACTTATTCAACAGGACAGTAATTTAATAAGGGACTCGGGTATTTAGGCAAATGAAGATGTTCTCACTACAGCTAAATCCTCACTCTCTCTCTCCCTCTTTAGGAAATGTGTCTGATTTTTCATGTCCTGTGGTTTTACTTCAGAAGCAGGTGTCCTCTTTGGGGCCCTTCTTGGCTTCTTTAATTTCTTTTGTAAGGTTCAGTGGTGAGCAATAAAGCACAAATAGTCCCTTCCTTTTTGTGAGGAATGCAAGTGACCCAGGCTGTCCCCGGGGTCGGCAGAAGGCTAAACCAGGTAGACTTTGGCGGATCAGAAGTGGTGGAGTCGAGGGGTAAGCAAGCCAAGCCCACGGTTACTAACGAGACCCATCAAGAAGAAGCTGGGGATTGGGATTTCCACCAGGTTGTCGTACTTCAGGAGGGATTTTATGGGACTGAAAAGAGGTTTTGTCACTGTGGTGAATGTCCGTGTCCTGTATTGGAGCTCTAAAATAGAGGCTAATGCTGGTGGGGTGAAAGGCCTCATGTCAGTCCCTCTGCCAAACCAAGGCTCCCACCCAGGACTGAAGCACATACGAGGCTGAGATGGGAAGAGGGACGATGGAGTGAGCCAGGCAAGCCAGGGGGGCAGCGGGCAGTTCAAGGAGAGGAGCACGGAGCAGAGGAGCACGTCGCGGGAGGAAAGGCAAATCGCTGGCGCGGGGAAGGGAATGTGCATGAATCAAAGCGTCGAGCACTCTGCAGTTTCCTCTTCTCTCGACCCATGAAAGCTCTTTTTTTTTTTTGGAAGCAAATGTGTTTTGCCAGGTTCACGCTGGCTTGCTAAGGCTGGGCACATGCAAGACTTTCCTAAGGAAATCATTTAACTGTGAGTAACCAGCCCGTGTGAACTGCGTGCTCCTTGGAGCCTCGCTGGCCGAGGTGCCCTGCACAGGGTGCCTGCGCCGGGTCTGGTCCTGGGACTCCACGCCAAAACGGGCTGTTTATCCACATCCAGCGTGCCCCGCAGAGTCCCAGCCTCCTTCCATCAGCTGTGGGAGATGCAGCCGGTGCCACAGCGAGCCCTGCACCGCCCCAGCAGCCAGGCTGGGCTCAGCTCCCAGTGTCCCGGTGCTGCAGAGGGGTCCGGTCACACGCCGTCTCCTTCGGTCGGGACCTTGTTCAGACTTGGTACTCTCCTCCCTTTGGAAATCCTTCTGAGTTACGAAATTGCTCCCACCTGCTGCTATCCAACGGGCGGGATGCTTGGAGTGTGTCTTCTGTGATGAAAGGCTTCCTAAAGTATAAAGTTTTAATGAAGAGTTGCCTCGTCGGAGAGCAGTATCGTCTGACACGCTTGTTAAAAAAGTCTCGTTTAAAGTCCTGAAGCAGCAAGTCCAGGTCTTTCAGAGGCCTGGGAGGAGCAAACGCTCTCCTGTGGCATACGAGCAGAGCGGTGTGAAACCCAGAGAGATGGGAGAGCGGGGAACCCTCACCCCATGCTTTGATACGCAGGTATCTGCTAAATCTTCAGAGAGCTAAAAAGCAGCTAGAGCGAAAGCCAACACCTTCTTTTGTCTCCGTGCCCAGAAACCTTGGCCCAGTAGAGCCAGGCTGCGACCAGCGTCAGCCCTCGGAACAGCAGGGAGGACAAATTAGACTTAATGACTTCAGGGGGTGAGGGGCAGAGAAGGCACCGTGGGGAGAGCATCGGCAGCAGAGCCGGGGTCCCGCTGGGTCGGTGGGCGCACGGCGGGACGCGGGACACCCCGGCCAGCTCTGAGCGGCGACGCCGACGCACACACACACTCGCCCCTTCCATTTTCCTTTGTTACTCATCCTGCGGGCCTCAGCACGGAAAACGTGAGGCTCCCTGCAACATCCCTTCCCCGTCGGATGTTGCTCACAGCGTACGTGGCCGCAGGAAGCCGGCGGCTACCCAAAGCGGCAGCAAGATCAACACAAACTCTTTGCTGCTGAAGCGGAGCTATTGTGCAGGACATCCTGGAGGGACACGTCTGTGGGAGCCGGCACGTGTTGGGAGCAAAGGGACCCCGAGTGCTGCGCTGTCTCGCTGTCCCCTGTGCCCGTCGCTGTCCCTGCTGGCATCCCGTGCCCGCACCCGGCTGAGCACAGTCCCGGTGCCCGGCCCTCTCTTGCTGCAGCACTTTGAGCTGGAGTCTGGCTGTCTTCAGAGCCCGCCCGCATCCACAGGCGAGCGCAGCTTCATGAAACCTCCCAGTTTGGTCGGGTGCGTGGGGCCGAGCGGGGTGTCCCACCACGGGGACGCTGTGACCCGCTGGCGAGGGCTGTGCCCTTGAGAAGAAAGCAGGAGGCAAACCCCCGAAACCCCGGTGTGTGTGACATGGCAAAACTCTTGAACTAATGTAGAAGACACCTCTGACTTGCCCGCTAATAGGGTACGTTTTGCCTTGTCCCTGGCCACGCATCCTGCTCCATCGCCTGGGAGCAGCGCGCAGCCCACGGGCAGGGGTTGCTGCTCCTCAGCCCGCCCTGCCCGACCCTTCTGAAGAGCAGGGAGAGCTCTTGGGTGTAAGATCTACCTTCCCTGCATGGGGGCTGTGGGGTTGCTTCGTGGCACTGCGGTGGGACAGATCCCCTTCCAGCTGAGGTCCCTGCGTGCAGTCCTCACTTGGGTGGCAGAGTCCCCGCTGAGCCCCTTCTGCCTGGAGCAGCAGTGGCTAATCCAGACCTTGGCGAAAGGACTTTCTTAACCTGCTTAATGGCGAAGGCCCACGTTCCACGGGGGCGTCCCTGGAGGTGGCTGGCTGGGAAGGCTCCTGGGTGTTGGGGACATCCCTCAGGAGTGCTCCAAGAAGGGTCCTCAGGGCGTGCAGGCAGTCGTTATTTCAGGACACCGTCCCCGGAGCAGGTAGAGCAGGTCACTCCTCTGGCCACCCAGCCCTGGGCCGGGCAGGGACAGCACCGAGCTGTCCCCAGCACAGCAGTCTCTCTTCTGGCATGGCACGCGTCCCGCAGCTCCGGGTCACACCGCCGTTCTTTGGCCAGGTGCCCACGACGTGCTGCCCATCACCGGGTTCCCCGATGCACCGGCCTCGCAGGGCGCTTTCTGGGGAGAGAGCAGCCCTCTTGCCAAGTGCAGAGCAGCAGCCAGGCCCGGGCCCGCACAGCCAGCCCAGCTCCTGCCTGCAGGAACCCCCCCCGGGCTCCGGCCCCAGGGCAGCCGGGACACCCCGCTCCTCACCTGCACCTCCCCGGCAGCCGGTGCCCGCCCGTGGGGCGATGGCACCCTCCTCGCCTCCCCTGGCAGGGTCACTTACAGCAGGCAGCACCGAGTGTCGTGCGGTTCCCGGTTCCCCTCGGCCAGCCCCGGCCCCGCTCCAGGTGAACACAGACGCATTTTTGCCACCCAGAGCAGACGCACAGACCCGTCTGACACTGGCCAGTGCAAGAGGTGGTCTGCAAGCCCCAAGCCCCTTCCTTATCCCAGGCTGCAAAATCCTCCCTGTTCTCAGGGCTTCTTGCGCCGGTGTTGGATTTCACCCTCCCAGAAGCCCTCGCTTGGAGCCTTGAACGAGACTAGGACCAGCACCCAGGCCTTGCGACAGCTAGATGTGACCTTATCTTACTTT